TATCAAGTGTCTGTTACACAGACAAGAATAGCTATTTGAAGAAGGCCTCAAAGTGCTCACAAAGTCAATGGCCAGGAGGCTGGGAAGGTGGCTCAGTAGGTTTGATTCCTCAGCACCACATAAGCAAAAAGAATAAAGTGGTGCTGTGGCTCAAGTGGTAGAGCGCTAGCCTTGAGCTGAAGAGCTGAGGGACAGCACCCAGGCCCAGAGTTCAGGCCCCACGACTGGACCAAAAAAAAAGTCGGTGGCCATTCTGCAATTTGGAGAAAGAATCTTTACAACTGGCTGAGCACTATCAACAGGTTCTCTTCCATATATGTTTTAAATACAGATCATTCAAGAGGTTGAGAGAGGAGGCTACAGCAAAACCCTATCTCATAGGCAAGCTAGGCATGGTAATTCATGCCTATAATCCAAGCTATTTAGGTCATGCTAGTCAAGGCAAAAGTGTGAGGTTGAGACCCTACTTAAAAAATTAAAGTCAAAAGGGCTGAGTATGGCTTATGCAGTACAAGTGGAATCCCTAAATTTAGTCCCCAGTACCACAAAACAGAAGGTAGATTATTTCTCAGATTGACTCAAGACTATAAACCACCTCTCTGTGGAGTTCAGTAATGAATCTGCATTTTTATTAAATTCTCCATGTTGGACATAACCAATTTCTGTGTTAAGCAACTGTCAGGAAACGTCCTTCTGCGTTGTCTCAAAGCTTTTGTTTCTTCTTCCATTATCGTGACAATTTCTGGCTGTCCTGCTTCTCCTCCTCTTCTCTGTAGAGCTAACCAATCCCAGCAGACAATCTCTGACTGTTAAATGATGCCATGGTTTTACTCTGGTCCCTTTCCCTCTCACAGGTCTTGGGGCTCAGATCTACAAATATTATAAAAGTAAATCTGCGGGTGAATGAAATGGATCCAGTATGCCATAATCCTTCTTGTAAAAAAAAAAAGCCAGCATTATATTCAGATATTAAGGGATCAAATGCTATCGATACTAGAAAGATAAAGACTGTGAATAAGTTTACATTAATGAAGACAAGTACTAAAGTACTAAAGCAGAAATCTTTTCCAGATTTTCTCGCTCTAGAACATAATAATGTTATAAACTTTTTTCTAAAAGCAGGGAAGGGCTGGGTGCCAGTGGCTCACACCTGTAATCCCATTCAGAAGGATAAAATCTGAGGATCACAGTTGGAAGCCAGCTGGGCAGGAGAGTCCCTGAGACCTTTATCTCCAATTAACAACCAAAAAGCCAGAAATGGAGCTGTGGCTCAAGTGTTAGGGCTCTACCCTTGAGCAAAAAAGTCTCAGAGACAGCGTCCAGGCTGAGTTCAAGTTTCAGGATTCTCTCTCTCTCTCTCTCTCTCACTCTCTCGCTCTCATACACATAGACACAAAGTAGAGAACATTTTAATTGTAAGCTGTAATATGATTTGTAACCTTATGAATGTTACGTTGATTCCTTCTTAAAATAAAAAGGTAGCCGAGAATGAAGGAACAACCCTTCACATCTAGAGTAATTTCTTACATTTTATTTCCAACATTAGGGGCTATAATTTTGAACCATGAGCAAGTAAAAATTCACATTGCTGAACATATATGCACAAAGCATTGTTTTAAAGGAACTACCATATATATTCATTAAAAAAACCATGTAGAATATATTCCACAAAGAGTTTCTGCTTAAGTGCAACTACAGGAGTCGTGAGAGGCAGGAAAATTTCCTAGGCTGAATAATGTAGGTTAGTAAAATTAGCATGCAGCAACTGGACATATTGTCACCTATTGTCAAAGACATGTTCTGGGCTCCTGCCGAATACAAACACAACGTATTATCTGATTATTCATTCCCCAATCTACCCTTTATCACTGTCTGTCTTGGACAAAGGCTAAAGGTGTGTCTGACTGGCTCATACAGCACCTGGTAGACAAAGGTGGTTACAATATGAGGAACCCAGCAGCCAGACATCTTAGGATCAAATTCAACTGCCTCAAAATTTGTGAGCCCAAATTTTGGGGCTAGAAAGTACAGCACAGTGACAAAGCAGTTTCCTAGTTTATAAGAGGCTCTGGGTTCAATCCCAGGCACTGTACACACAAAATTAAAGTTTGTTGGGGGAGAGAATGAGTGGGGAAGGGGAGGGGGAGTCAAAATTACCTATGTACCTGTGTGAAAAATGGAACAAGAAACTTGAGATTGGTCTGGGAAGAGGGAGGGGCAAGGAAGGAGAGGAATGGAAGGGTGACTGATCAAGATCCATCAAATACATCTTGCTAACTGAAGTTAATGTTTAAAAAGGAAAAAATTATGACTTTTAGCCATGAAAGCACTTAGCTTTCTTTGACCCTGATCTATGTAAAACAGGAACTGGTTTCCATCACAAACAGGGAAAGGCTGAGGCAGTGATGTGAAGATCTCTAAATGTTTAATGAGTCTCAAAAGTTATCTGAGCTCCATCCAGGAGAACCAAGAGTCAGTCTCTTTGGTAAGGCAAGTGAATAGGACCAGTCCTTTGCCAGGAATGGTGGCCACCAGGAATAGCATAAATAGTTCAATATATACTGAAGCTCAACGACATTCAAAAACTGCTTTAATATTTTAGTGTCACAGTCACAAATTCTATTTATCTACACATAATTACTCTTTTCTAAAAATCTCCAGACTCTGTAAGTGCTTTGAATTTATCACACTTAAAATAGCAAAAAAGAATCCCATGTACTCCTCAAGAATTGTAAATACATGTACTGAGCTTTCAGCAGGCACCACTAATACCCTTGCTGGGCATATGGAGTCATTTACTCATCCCAACACCTCTAACCATCCATCCATCTCTAATGGAGACAGAACACAAGTTCCTCAAAAGAGAGCCTGGAATGCAGAGCTCATTCTGCCCAGGACACAGGCCTCCGCAGTCACAGGGCTGGGGTAGCCCTTTTGCTGTATTGTGTCTCTGATGAAACCTTTAGTGAAAGGCCCACACCTGCAAACACACTGGGATTCCAGACTGATAGGGTCCCTATCTATTGCATCCAAATAGTTGTGAGGGCTACATACAATCTACCATGTCAGCTTGTGGGCCTACCAGTCACTTCCTGTCAAACACATTTCCCCTATGATTATCCCCATCTTAGACACACTAAGGCTCAAATAACACTTGCAAAAGAAGACAAAGGAAAAAATATTCTGATATCAAAACTACAGATCTTCAACTTCTGTCTAAAGCAAACTAAAAACAAAACCACATTCCTAACATGTCTGTAATTAGAATTCTGAACAATAACTAGCTTGGCAGTGTATCAAATTTTAACTAAAAATACCTCCTGGTGCTGGGCTCTGGTGGCTCATGCCTGTAATCCCATTACTTAGGAGTCTGAGATCTGAGTATCACAGTTCAAAGCCAGCCTACACAGGAAAGTCTATGAAACTCTTATCTCTAACCAACAGAAAACTGCAAGTGCCACTGTGGCTCAATGTGGTAGAGTGCTAGCCTTGAGCAAAAGTGCTCAAAGACAGTGCCCAGGCCCCAAGTTCAACCCCATGACTGACAAACAAAGCAAAACAAAACTTCCTCTTGGCCCTACAAATTCTAGGCTTACAGGATACTACAAGTACACAGAGATCTGTGCAAGCATGCTCAATAAAGAGCAAAACTAAAAACACCCATCACTGGTTAAATCATTATGCCATAGACATGTGATGGAACACCATGTGGCCAGTCAAAGGAAAGAGGTAGCTCTAGCCACACTGACACATATAGCTATCTTGGACATACTAGCAAGCTAAAGAGCAAATGACAGAACATGTTTACTATGATTCTGCATGTGATTGTGTGTGTGTGTGTGTGTGTGATTGTGTGTGTGTGCATGTGTGTATGTGTGTGTATGTGTGTGTGCATGCATGAACACATGCATGTAATGAGGCTTGAACTCAGGGCCTTACACCATTGCTGAGCTTTTTTGCTCAAGCCTCAAGCCACACATCCACTTCTTGATTCTATTTTTATTAAAAGCAAACTTTGTGTGAGAGTGAAAAAGGGGAGAAGGAACAGAAGGAAAGGAAGAAACAAAGTCAGGAGGGAAGCAGGGAGAGAAGAAGGCCGATAGTAAGATGCATGGATGGATAATGTTACATAACAGAAGTACGAGCAAACTTCCCTTAGGAGGTGGAAATTATACAGGGACAAAGAATGTCATTCATGTTCTACTTTGCAGACATTTGTACTTGAAGCTAGTAATTACTTATGAGATAATAATATAAAGTTCTGAAATGAAAAGAACTTGGAAAGCTAATTTTCTTAAGGGATTATGACCGAGTTTATAGCAGTACTAATATTTCCAAAACTGAATTACACAGTATTGTAGCACGGACACAAACCCTACTTTAAAAGCTTCTTGTAACCAGGCATTGGTGGTACATATCTGTCATCCTAGTCATGTAGGCTGAGATCTGAGGATAGTGGTTCATAACCAGCCTGGGCAGACAAATTTATGTCATTCTTATCTTAAATTAACCAGCAAAAAGCTGGAAGTAGAATTGTGGCTCAAGTGGTAGAGCACTAGTCTTAAGCAGAAAAAGCCAAGCAAGAGTATGAGGCTGAGTCAAAGCCCCCGTGCTCCCATAAAAGAAGAACCACCAGCAACAGCAGCAGCTCCGTCTAACACTAAGCCATTCAGTTCAGAGGTTCCAAAGCAAAGGCTAGCAATGTCTGTACTTTCAAACGATGCCATAAATGACACAACTTTCAAAAAGTAAACATGTGAAACACTTAAGACAAATAGCTAAAGCTGTGTTGTTCTGCTATACACTATTCAACACTGCCCCTACTTGGTATTTGAGAGAACTAAGTCTAGGGTCCAAATGTAAATACCCACAATGTATTGAAAAATAGTCTCCAGATTTGTACTCTGACCCAAGTTTTGGCACAATTAAATCATACACAAGTCAGATACAAACATTTACACCTGAGCATGTAGCAAAATCCTGAAAAATACCATAGCATGTTAGCCATAACATCATTTATTTAAACTCTCACAGTGAACTATAATCTTCTTAAGTCACACACACCACAATACACCTTTGCACAGGTAATTTTATTTTCTCCTGTGGGTGTTGACAGTGCTTATAGGTTTTAATTTGAAACATTCAGAAAGCACATACCTGAATATTGTCACATTTCTTTACATCACAATTCTGTAACTATTAAACAACTATATCCACTAAACACAATGAACAACATGGTATGTTTACACCATTCCCTTGTAAACAAGGCTTTTGTGCACAATGATAACAAATGGAATTAATGCATATCACAACATCAGTGAAGAAACGACCTGCTCTTTAAATAAACTATTCTGTTTATAAATAAACTCTTGATTTTTTTTAGTACACATTTACAGACCTGATCAATAAAAAGAAACAATATGTATTTCTCTTTTAAAAAGAAAACACTGAGCTAAGGACCACTGTGGGAGAACTCACCAAGGGAGAAGGGTAAGGAGCAAGCAAAAGCTAAGAGGGTAAAAAGTACTGTCATACTGCAACCTGTCTGTTAGTATACACCAACACGAGGTCAGGATTGTCTGGGGAGGAGCTCATCTTTACTTGAATTCCAGCAAGTTGCAGTCGATCTTATAGTACACATAGGGGTAGTATTCTTGTTGACTCAGGTTCAAGCCAGGAATGTCCATAGGAGCCTATGGAAAAATCAGGAAAACCATTCATGTACTTAAATAACTTGGAAAAAATAAGCATTATCATTTACCTTTGAACACCTATTCTGGGCTAAATTTATGTACTGATGCTGATTTAACCAAAGTTAGGCACTGTCTCCATTCTGCAAGAATGGAAGCAATCCCTGAAGGCTATTCACTTCTAGAAAACAGTGAGCAGCAAGCCAGATTCAAACTCTTGACTCTCAGCCAGGCGCTGGTGGCTCATGCCTGTAATCCTAGCTACTCAGGAGGCTGAGATCTGAGGATCGCTGTTCAAAGCCAGCCCGGGTAGGAGAGACCGTGAGACTCCTATCTCCAATAAAACCACCAGAAAACCAGAAGTGGCGCTGTAGCTCAAGTAGTAGAGTGCTTGCCTTGAGCTGAAGAGCTGAGGGACAGCGCCCAAGCCCAGAGTTCAAGCCCCACGACCAACCAAAAAAAAAAAAGAGTCAAACTCTTGACTCCAAAACCCACATGAACCTTTTGTCCTTTTTGTTGACTACTACAAAAAAACATTCTTAATTCTCAGGTTTAGGACAGACACTTGGTTAAGGATGTACAAGGCTTACAAATGTATTAAAATAAGCCAACTATGGTTTTAAATGTGACACTTACAATAGCCTAAGAACTGACAAGTGGAAACTATATATCAAAGAGTTTGGCCTGATATTTTATTCATACTTTCAGGAATGGGTTCTAAGCAATCAATGCATGTGTAGAATACTATCATCCTAATGAGAAAAAAAAATCAGTAATGTACCTTTAATTAAATATATAAACGTCTACTATAAGGTGGAATAGCAGCAACAAAGAGCACATATATTTATTAGATATTCTTTTGTTTAAAAACCACTTTAGAAAAATGATAGTTTAGACCAGGAGCCAGTGGCTCATACCTGTAATCCTAGCTACTCAAGAGGCTGAGATCTGAGGATCGTGGTTAGAAACCAGCTCAAGCAGGAAAGTCCATGAGACTTTTATCTCCAATTAATCACCAAAAAGCTGAAGTAGAGCTGTGGTTCAAGTGGCAGAGCATCAGCATTGAGTGAAAAGTGAAGGGACAGTACCCAGGCCCCAAGTTTAAGCCCCAGTACAAGTGAGCACTCACGTACGCACATGCGAGCATGCGCACATGCACACACACACACACACACACGTATACACACACACATATCCATCCAGTAGAATTAAAATAACTATGTATTTTCTTCCTTTCTGAAATTTATAGGTTTTGAAAACTAGTGGCCTAGTTGTAACTATAAATATCTGATACATTAAATAGTAAGGTCCCAATGGGTTTCTAGAAATAGCATGAAGCAAAGCACAACTATCAATAGTATGTAAGAGTAAAAATAAATTACTTGCTAATTTTACTTCAGAACCTCAAAGCAATGATTACATACCATGATTAAGCATCATTATCATGATACATATTCACTATACTTTTTGTGTATATTCTTTTTCTTCTAATTATAAATGTTCTTTTGGAATAAAAAAATGTGGCACTCAAGACTATCTGCCAACTTGATTTCAAGTAATACGGAGGAAAAATGGAACCAGGAACCACTTAGTAGAGAGAAATAGCAAAGACACCCTCCTGCCATGCCAAGTGCCTTTCTCCCAAGTAGTGACAGAAGGTGAACAGACCTATCGTATTTCTTCCCTGCCTACTCGGTTAAAATAAGCTTTGTGTTCTGTGATCCACACTGGTTCTGAAAACTGGACTGTTCCTCTCCACTGTTCTCTTCTGAGAAGCAGATGGAAAGACAGTTGGTCATCTAACCCCAAGTATCAACAAGATCTCAATGATGCCTTTGTAGCTTTGTTCAAGGACAGTGTCCTCTATTGCCAAGGATAATATCTGAGTAATCTTTCGGCACCCTGACCGAGTGTTCATTATGAGTCTTTTTTCCCCCCTTCTTTTTCTTGTTTCAGTACTGGGACTTGAAGTTAGGGCCTGTTGCTCTCACTTGGTTCTTTCTCTCATGGCTAGCACCTTACCATTTGTGCCACACATCTAGTTCGGGCTTTATGTTGGTTGAGTGGAAATAACAGACTTGAGTATTTATCTGCCTGGACTGGCTTAGAACAATCTCAGCCTCCTAAGTAGCTAGGATTACAGGCATGAGCCACTGGTGTCCAACTTCATTATAAGCACATTTAAACAATCAGTTTTTCTGTGAAACTAGCTTTTTTTCCTTCCATGAATTGGGGCTACTTTTTTTGGTCTAGATTCAAGCATGGAAGAAACAGTCTGTCGCTTCAGGTATTGTTTAAGTTTCTCCTCATTCATTGAATTCATAATGACACTATCCCAAAGCTCCTGGAATTCTTTATACACAGAAATGACAGCACTTATAATTGAAGAAAAGTCTATTTTTTCTATTAGGAAAATTTACCAACAACATCTGGTCCCCTAAAGCTTTGATGGCTTTCTCCTTCAATGTCTTTTGAGAGAATTCCTTCTATCCCTGGCTAGTCAGGGTGATCTAAGAGGCTAAGAAGGACATTTTTATCTTTGAAGTTGTGCTTGGGCTTGAAAGTCTATTTCCTATAACTTCAACTTTGGGACTGCTGATTAATGGCTCAGTTTTTGACTATTGTTTCTGTTTGAGTCCCATACCTAAATGCTAAATTTCATCCAAAATCTCTTCTAAATTATAAGATATGTATTTCCTCACTAATAGCTCATTTCCAGGCAATTCACAAACTTAGCAAGAATATCAAACATATTCAGAGCTTCTTGATAAAGCTTTCACATTAGATGATCTATGGCTATGACTTTAGTTTTGTTTAGAGCCTGATGGTCCGCCATGTTCTATCTTTGCTACGTTCCTTGGTAATGACAATGATTACTCAAGACACAAGATGTTGCTTTCTCAACAACTCTCCATAATTCTGGGTGGAAGGAGGGCAGACTCACATGACCTTCTCCCTCCTGTGCCTCTCCAGAGCCTCCACCTGCGCATGCGTCTACACCCACAGAGCCTCTACTGAGCATGCCTCTACACCTAGAGCCCACCTGCCAGGTCAGGGTTCCACCACTGGAGGCAGCAGAAGTGACTGTATATAATAGTCCAATAATTTGTTTCTGTCATTCTAATTCCTGCTCTCCCAGGCTATCTAATAAGTACTTACATCAATAATAGCTGCTGCACTGCTGTCTAGATGTTTGTACAGTTCATATAATACTTCTCTCAGTTTCTTCATTGTCTTCTTATTAGGCTGAAGTAGCATTGCTTGGAAGTTCACTGGCAAGCCATACCTTACAAGGAAGTAAAAATGGTATACAACACAAATAAGCACATAAAGAAATTTTCTCTCAGTACTTGTTACTCATAGACAATGTATGCCATTTAAATAACTCTCTTTACAAGCTCAACTAATATCCATAAAAACTTACACTATCACAAACACAAATATCTGGTTCCTCACTACCCACTAGGAAGCTCTCTTTAAAAACAAACCATAGCCGGGTGCCAGTGGCTCACGCCTGTTATCCTAGCTACTCAGGAGGCTGAGTTCTGAGGATTGCGGTTCAAAGCCAGCCCGCAGGAAAGTCCATGAGACTCTTATCTCCAATAAAAACCACTAGAAAACTGGAAGTGGTGCATTGGCTTAAGCAGTAGAGCGCACACTTGAGCTGAAGAGCGCAGGGACAGCACCCAAGTCCAGAGTTCAATCCCCACGACCTACAAAAACAAAACAAAACAAAAACCACAGGGCTGGAAATGTGGCTTAGTGGTAAGAGTGCTTGCCTAGCATGTGTGAAGCCCTGGGTTCCATTCCTTAGTACCATATAAGCAGAAAAAGCCAGAAGTGGTGCTGTGGCTCAATTGGTAGAGTGCTAGCCTTGAGCAAAATAAGCTCAGGGACAGTGCCCAGGCCCTGAGTTCAAGCCCCAGAACTAGCAAACAAACAAACAAACAAAAACCCACAGCTGAGCTTAGTGGTATATGTCTTAAATCTCAGTACTCAGGAGGCTCGGGCAGGATAAGCACAAGTTCAAGGCCAACAAAACTATACAAGATCTTATGTTAAAAAAAAAAACAAATCAATCAATAATAAAAAAATTAACCCATTATGAGGAGTTACTTCAATTACAATTCAATTTTTAAGGTGAAACATGAATACTTTCAAGAAGTAAGGAAAACATGGAAGGCTAATATACTTGAAAACTTGAGACACTATTTACACCTACTTTGAAAATTTTAATATGTACAAAGTATCTCAAGACTAAGATTTTACATATACTAAAATATTGAAATTTAGGTTAAAATGAAATGATTTCAGTAACTCATTAGTATACTAAATACAGGTAGAACATTTGAAAAATCTTTATTTTAAGAAAACATTGGTTAACATTTTGTAGTCCAATTTTAACTATACGTCATATGCCGCATATCAATGTTTTTGCTCAATGACAGACAATGTACATGATGCTGGTTCCCTAAGGTTATAATAGAGGTTAAAATTTTCTGTCACCTACTGATGTCACAGTCACTGTATCACATTACTATGTGCTGATGCTGGTATATACAAGTCTGGGCTGCCAGCATATAAAAGCATAGCTCATACAATTATGAACACTACACAGTATATGGTAATAATAACTATGTTACTGGTTTAGTATTTATAGTGCTATACTTTTTTTTTTTTTGTCCAGTCGTGGGGCCTGAACTCTGGGCCTGGGCGCTGTCCCTCAGCTCTTCAGCTCAAGGCTAGCGCTCTACCACTTGAGCCACAGCACAGCACCACTTCCGGCTTTTTTTCTTTTTGCTTATGTGGTGCTGAGGAATCGAACCCAGGGCCTCATGCATGCAAGGCAAGCGCCCTACCACTGAGCCACCTTCCCAGTCCTAGTGCTATACTTTTATCATGATTTTGGAATGTGTTCCTTTTGATTAGAAGTTGTAAAAGAGTTTTCTATAAGATAGTATGCCATGTTATACTAACAGCAGTCTCATGCATGCACCTCATGTTTCATGCATATCTGTTTTGTATCAAGAAGCCACATTAATCTTGGCATGGTGATGTAGGGCTTTAATCCCAGCACTCAGGAGGCTAGAGGAGGATAATTTCAAGTTGAAGGCTAGCCTGAACTAAATAGCAAGTTCCAGGCTAGTCTGAAACATAGCAAGACCTTGTCTCAAAATGAAAAGGAAAAAAAGATGCCATGTCAAGTGACTAACCTACATCATGCACTCCGTGAAGTCTACACAACGATGAACCATGAACTTCTCAGAAATAATCTCCTTGTTAACTGACTATACATAACAACCAAAGAATATATCCACAAGAATGTCTTTTTATAACCTGGTGTCAAAGGATAAGAAAAATATGTGCTTGATAAACTGTTGGATACTGACTGATTGTCTTTCCCGCATGACTGGCCCTTGTTGGGACTGTGTTCTAAGAAAGAGGTCCATTGAACTCCTCAGAATCTCTGAGCACTTCAGGCCCAAGCTTCTTAACTAACTTTCCTTACCTTAAAACAGATTCAACAAAAACCCTTAATGCCTTCACATGAATCCACGCAATGAATGCCTCACTGAAATTCACTTTCAGCCACCGTACAAGTGGTCCCTATAAAAAGAAAACACAATCACCACAAATTAGGTCTTGTAAGTAACAATCCAGTAGGTCAAATATTTGTAAAGGAGTATTAATCCACAGAAGAAATAAGTCAAAGAATTTTTTTTAATGTCAAATATTTCAAGAGGTTTTTTTCTTTGTTGCTGTTGTTTTTAATGTACTATGTGATTTTTTTGTTTCTTTTGTATGTTCTTCGCCCTATGGTATAACCCTGTTATCACTGTATTTGATTCTGGTATCTTGCATCTTGTATATACATTTTTTCTAATTTGGGAGGGGAAGGGAAATAATAAAATGCTGAAACAAGGATATAGGTCAACTCATTTTAGCAATGAGATGTACAAGACACTATGTTGAAAATGAACTTTAAAACTTGTGGGTGGGGGGCTGGGAAGGTGGCTCAGTGGTAGAGCGCTTGGCTTGCATGCCTGAGGCCCTGGGTTCGATTCCTCAGCACCACATAAGCAAAAAGGAAAAAGCCGGAAGTGGCACTATGGCTCAAATGGTAGAGCACTAGCCTTGAGCGGAAGAGCTGAGGGACAGTGCCCAGGCCTAGAGTTCAGGCCCCACGACTGGACCCCCCCAAAAAACAAACAAACAAAAAAACTTGTGGGTGGGGGGAGACATAGTAGGAGAAAAACAAAGGAGTGGGTAACAATGCTCAATAGGAAATGTACTCACTACCTTACTCATGTAACTGTAACCCTTCTGTACAGTATCTTTATAATAAAAAAAATTAAAAGCCAGGCACCAGTGGCTCACACCTATAATCCTAGCTACTCAGGAGGCTGAGATCTGTGGATCCCAATTCAAAGCCTGCTCCAGGCAGTGAGACTCTAATCTCCAGTTAACTACTAGAAAACTGGAAGTGGTCCTATGGCTCCAAGTGGTAGAGTGCTTGCCTTTAGCTAAAGAGCTCAGGGACAGCACCCAGGCCTAGAGTTCAAGCCCTACAACCAACTTAAATAAATAAATAAATAAATCACTTTTTAACAATTTAAAACGGTATTCTAATTATATTGAATATCAGATTCTTATCTTAAATTAAAAAGTTAGCCACTATTCTGAGTAACCTCATCAGATACAAATGATTTAAACTAATTCATTAGAAAACAACAGATAGGGCTGGGAAGGTAGCTTAGTGGTAGAGTGCTTGCCTTGCATGCATGAGGCCCTGCATTCAATTCCTCAGCACCACATAAACAGAAAAGGCCAGAAGTGGCACAGCGGCTCAAGTGGTAGAGAGCTAGCCTTAATCTGAAGAGCTGAAGGACAGCACCCAGCCCAGAGTTCAAGCCCCATGACCAGAAAAAAAAAAAGAAAACAGCAGATAAAACCGAATGATATAGAAGAAGAAGTTAACAGGATATACTGCACA